GCAGGAATGAGGCATGGGAGTGAAACCAAGAGTACTGGGTGAAAGTGTTTCTCAGGAGTAATTAGAACCCCAGAACCCCAGATCACCTTCCTTTCTCCCTGCTGCCAGATGACCCAGTACAGATGGTAGAATTACCCTGTTGAGAAATTAACCAGATAGCTTCCAAGCTCATGGAACTTGCAGGCACAAGAGAAGGTGGCAATTAGGCTAGGAACTAAAAGCAGGGGGCTAGCTGAAAAACTTACAAACTGAGCAGTAAGACCCCTCTCCCAGATGCCTTTACCTACCCCAGTGCCCCAGTGTGTACAGTCTAGCATCTACGCCCAGGGAGGAGGCTGGAGAATACTTCTCTGGGAGAGCTGAACAGTCCCAATGCAGGGGAGGAAGGGAATATTTTAACTGGCATCTGGGTATAAGCCAGCAGAACATCCAGGACCTCACCACTTTACCCTACAGAGGAAACCACCAGTCAATAAGCCCCACAAGCACACAGAGCTTTCAGTCACACTCAAACATGAACGGACAGACAAAGGTACTATATATTTGAGGACAGCCTCCAATATCTGAAGAAAGATCAAAACAAAGCTAATGGATCTCAGAGGAAAAAGACACAATGTAGTGAATAGCAGAAAATGTTTTAAAATATGTATATAATTAATGTATCAGAGATATAATATGACATTATGTTAGGAAATGAGAAAAAGATGCTATGTAAAAGTAAAAATAAGAGTAAAAGGAGGAGCTTATGGTAGAAAGAATTCTAAGACAGCCCTCAAGCTCCCTGCCCCCTGGGATACACCTCCCTGTATAATTTCCTCCCCTTGAGAGTGGGTGAGACCAGTGAATATAACAGGATACCATGCCCATAATTTCTAATCAGTTGATGTTAAGTTCATTAAAAGATATTACCCTGGGTGGACCTGACCTAGTCAGGTGGGCCCTTATAAGGAAAGGCATAGCACCAGCAACACAATCTCCTGCTGGCCTTGAGGAAGAAAGCAAACAGCCATGTTGTGAACTATCCATCACGAGGGGTGGTCTCTAAAAGTTGAGGGCCTCAGTACCATAGGTGCAAGAAACACAATTCTCCCAGCAACATGAATGAACTTGGAATAGGACTCAAGCTCCAGATGAGAACCCCACTCCAGCCAATACCTTGATTCCAATCTGTGAGACCCTGAGCAGAAAACCCAGCTAAGCCACCCAGAATTCTCACCTACAGAAAGCATAAGGTAAATGGGTATACTTTTAAGCTGCTAAATATGTGGCAATTTGTTACACAGCAACAGAGATCTAATACAGTGCTCTGGGGAATTAAAAAGGTGACCAAAATAAAACATAAAGATGAGAAAACCTATGAGGAAAACTAAGAAAATTAGAGGCTAAATCTGAGAGGTCCAACATAGCTACTAATGGGCATTCCACAACCAAAGAGCAAAGGAAACAGTCAGATAAAAATATATAAGAAATAATACAAGATATTTTTCCAGGCTGAAAGAGTTCACTACCATTTTCAGGCAAAGACCCATTCTAAAAACACATCATTGTGAAAGTTTGGAATACCACGGATAGAGTAAAATTCTAATTATGAGAAAACGCAGGGAATTTCCTGGCTGCCCAGTGGTTAGGACTCTGCACTTTCACTGCTAAGGGCCCAGGGGCCTGGGTTCAATCCCTGGTCAGGGAACTAAGATCCTATAAGCCTTGCAGCACGGCCAGATGAAAAAGGGAAAAAGCAGTTAATACACAAAGAATGGGACTCAAAAAGGCATCAAACCTCTCAAAAGCAACCCTGGAAACTAGAATACCATGGAGCCATGCCTGCAAAATTCTGAGGGAAGTCATTTTCAACCCAGAATTCTATCAGCAAAATAATCAAGCCCAAGTTCCCCTTTCTCAGTAATTTACTTGAAGGTATTCTTCAAGAAATGGAAGACAGAGGATCCAGAAAAGTGAGGACACAACACAGGAGAGAGGTGAAGCGTTTCCCAGGAAGACAGCAAAGGGCAGTAGAGACCAAGTTGCTCCAATTAGAGAATGAAGATGGAAGGCTTCAGTATGATTCCAGGAAGAAAAAAAGAAAGCAATTATCTTATACAATTTAGAAAAGTATATCAAGAGAGTATAAAACAGTGTAGAGGTTTAGTGAAATACAAAAAAAAATACACAAAAAAAGTACTAAATAAAAGTCAATAAATACAGAAACAAAAAAGTTACACAAGCAGTGAATGATATTTAAATAGCCATAATACCATAAGCATTATATAGTAATATAACCAAAAACTATGCTATGTATGATACATTAGGAGGACCGAAGGAGGAAAGATTGGGCGCTGGGTGCTGGAAGATGACAGCTGGGCGGTTGACAAGTGTAAACCTTCACCTACCAGATAGGATACCAAAATACTTTATGAAGATGATGAATTATGAGACAGCTCCACAAGCATATTCCTTAGTAACATGAAGGTAAGAGGAAAGCACTAAAAGCTGAAAGTGATATACGAGGAGGAGTATGGCAGGAATTTGGGGCTTTATGCAATTTGGACTTTAATGTAATCATAATTTTTTTAACTATGTGCTTGTTGTATTTTGATTAAAAGTTTTATGAAAAATAATAAATGGGAAAAGGTGAGTTCCAAGACACCAAGATAGGCTTTTACACACAAATAAGCTGTACCAGGAGAGCAAGGTAGGTGGGTTAAATGACTTCTGCGTAAGCAATCTCACCTGTTGGTTCAGTTCAATGTTTGGTTGAGTAAATAGCATTTCCACTATATCTGAAATTCAAATAGAAAAGATCTTTTTAAAGAATGAGACTAAAAGTCTGACAAGACTCGGCATAATAATTTTAAAAGAGAGGATTCTTTTTAGAAGAATCATCAAGAAAATCGTTATAACAAAGTTTTCAACATTTATGTAAACAGAAGACCTAAGACTAAAAGGTAGAATTACTTAGGGAAAATTTTTTTCAAATATTTTGGCTTTTGTATTTTCACATGACATCTATGATAGGAATATTTTTACATTTGCTGTGGCACTTAATATTCATACCACTAATTTGTGTTTAAATTTTCCTTTGGCCATGCTATTTAATTTGTTGGATTCTTTGTTTCTCATTACTGTTGGGATCATTTTCCGTGTGTTGTAGAGAGAGGGAGAAAGAGAGAGGGTGTGGTAGGTTCTCGGCCAGGCTGAAATACATCTAGAAATTCCATTTGTCATTATTATTGATTATAACAGAGGAAGTTATCAACTGAATCACTAACTCAAGCAAATGCTGTCTCTTTCCTAAATCTTAAACTTAGAATGTAAATCATAAAAGCTTCCTGGGAGGGCTTCCCTGGTGGCGCAGTGGTTGAGAGTCTGCCTGCTGATGCAGGGGACACAGGTTCGTGCCCCAGTCCAGGAAGATCCCAGATGCTGCGGAGCGGCTGTGCCTGTGAGCCATGGCCGCTGAGCCTGCGCGTTCGGAGCTTGTGCTCCGCAATGGGAGAGACCACAACAGTGAGAGGCCCGCGTACCGGAAAAAAAAAAAAAAAAAAAAAGCTTCCTGGGAAAAACTAAGTCAGAGGAATCAATTCTGGTCCTTTCTTCTGCGAGATTAGACAGTGGAGTTTGTTTTTATATTACTGTTGTTTTCCTGTAACCTTTGCAAGTCTGAGAGAGGAAAGGAAGCTTCCACTCTTTCAAGTGAAAAGGTCCGTGTAGTGAGGCTGACCAATCACATTCTACCTACTGTTTTACAGAGCTTCCAGTGACTGGGCTTTTGGCTGACATTCTGAAAAATTTAAAAAGAATAACCAATATTTTTTTTCATTTGTGTAACTCTGGCTCCCCTAGATGAAGCACATTTTCAGTAGCACAGATATTTATGATAACAAAATGTAATACCTTTGTGACCCCCGTGACAAGCCCAGTACAGGGCGGTGCTTCCAGCTTTGTCCAAGCCATTAACACCTACTCGGTTGTCCAAACACTCTCTCAACCAACTCAAGTTGCCTGAAAACATTTTACATTTATAAAAACACATGAAAAAAGTTTTTAGTTCTTTTGTTTTGCTTTTCAATCAATTTCATCCTGCATAAATTCGCATTTGCAAAGGATTAATGAGCAAGTCTGAAATTAAAACCTGCCCCATAACGCATTCTCTATAGTACATTTTGACTTCCAGTTTATTAATGGAAAGCATTAACATCAATTTTTAATGGTAGGTTAATGGGAAGAGTTGCCTAAATGGGTCCATTTAAGGTATTTTTACTCTGTAAAAAAAACTTTTTTTTCCTTTGTGAAATCCTGGAACTTTGGGGAAAAATGTCAAACCTAAGAACAAGCAGACACTACTCATATTCATATTTAAAATACATTTTCAGTTCCTACAAGAAAAGAAAAACTAAATAACCTACTCAAAGCTGCTGCTCTTATATGTTAAAGTATAACTATTAATTTAATATCCTCTGGCTAATGCCCTAAATATCTAGTTTACAAAAAATTTTTTAAATGTCAATTTAGTAGTTCTACTTATGCACAATCCTAAACCAATAATTTCCTTTTGCACATTCAGATTTCAGAAATATCTACAATTAAATGAAAGAGAGCTTACTGTGGCCTTATAAAAAATTCCCCATGATCTACAGCAGGGTCTCTCAACAGCGGCCCTACGGACATCTGGCGCTGGAGGGTTCTTTGTTATGGGGGCTGCACTGCACGATGTTTAGCAACATCCCCAGCCTCTATGCAAAAGGTGCCAGCATCCCCCCAGTTATGACAGTCGAAATGCCTCCAGAGGGCTTCCCTGGTGGCGCAGTGGTTGAGAGTCCGCCTGCCTATGCAGGGGACACGGGTTCGTGCCCTGGTCCGGGAAGATTCCACATGCCGCGGAGCGGCTGGGCCCGTGAGCCATGGCCGCTGAGCCTGCGCGTCCGGAGCCTGTGCTCCACAACGGGAGAGGCCACAACAGTGAGAGGCCCACGTACCGCCAGAAAACAAACAAACAAACAAACAAAAAAATGCCTCCAGATACTGCCAAATGTCCCAGGGTTTGCAGAGAGGAATTGCCCTCTGTGGAGAGCCACTGATCTACGGGACAAAGCCCCACGTACAAGCCCCATCCCTGGTGCTTCCTTCCTCCCCAACTCCATCCTCACCATTCATACTTGCAATATACCAACACTCTCCCAGGTGCTGGACCGCTGAGAAGCCCCCACCCTCTGCCCTCCTGTTACTCATTCTGGCCTCTATAGCCTGTTTAACTGAAACACACTTCAACCGCTATACTTATCACACCATCTTGTAATGATCTGCGATACACATTTCTCCCCTGCCAGACTTTGAGCTCTGCGAGTCACAGAGCATGACTTTCCGCTTGCAACTAAGCACAGGGCAGGTAAGACTCAAAAGTTATTTGTTGACTGACATTTTAAAAATTAAAATCACACATTTCTGTAGAGTGAAAGGCCAGAACAGAGATTGCCTCTGGGGGAGGCAAGGATTTAACTGGGAAGGGAACTTTCTGGGATGATAGAAATGTTCTGGATCTTGATCTGGGTGTTGGTTACACAGGTAAATGCATTTGTTAAAAGTCATCAAACTACATAATTAATATGTCTGTGTTTTACTGTACTGTTTATCTCAATCAAAAAGAATCAGACCTACCTCTTTTTGCAGCTTCATGCAATGGATTGTCAATGGATTCTGCCTGCTCAGCCACTAGATGGAAAAAAAAAGGTGCAAATCAATGTTGAGAGGGCCACCCAAAGGATTCCCTGAAGCCAATTCAGTGTCCCAGCTTCAGAAGTGCCAGGACCTTCCACCATACAGCTTCCCTTAGGAGTTTTAAAAAATGGCAGAAAATCAAAAGTGATGTTTTGTGCTTTGAAAGAAGCTGAATTATGTGTCAAAAGAAGCCAAGCTAAGACAATAACACAGCAATTAACTGCGAGTATAAACAGAAACAAACATAGCAATTAACTGGAAGTATAAATAGAAACAAACAGATCCAAGGTCTGCCTACCAGTTTGCTCAAATATTTCACCAACAAATTTAGTCAGGAAAACTGCAAAAGAAAGCATTTGAGGTTCGTTTTTACATTCTATAAAAACACCCTAGGGCTTCCCTGGTGGCGCAGTGGTTGAGAGCCCGCCTGACGATGCAGGGGACACAGGTTCATGCCCCGGTCTGGGAGGATCCCACATGCCGCGGAGCGGCTGGGCCCGTGAGCCATGGCTGCCGAGCCTGCACATCCAGAGCCTGTGCTCTGCAACGGGAGAGGCCACAACAGTGAGAGGCCCGCATACCACAAAAGAAAAAAAAAAAAAAAACACCCTGCTTTGAAGATGGCTGAAAATAACTGTCTCCCTTGTGTGTGTGGCTATGAAGGGTGAGGTAAAGGAGAAATATTTTGCTTTCTATATTCAGAACGGGCAATCAGCATACCTACCTGCCGCTAAGGAAGGTGTATTCACTGCTGTCCTAGAATCAGTAGGAGTGACCACACGAAGACTGTTGTTCAAATGAGACTTCACACCCACCCCTCCCACCACAAAGGGCTGTAACTAGATACTCCCTTGGCTACCAGGGATCTAGCAAATGAGAAACATTTTGCACCCTCAGTCTATGACCAGCTGGAGAAGTTGTTTATTTGGGATTTCAAAGGTTAGAGGAGTGTAGAAATGCTTAAAGTCTTTTAAAATCCAGAATGATATGGCCCTTAGACCAGGTAAGTGGGGCCCATGTGTTGAGCCCCAGGTCTCACTCATTTCCCTCCCCGCCCTTTCTCCCCTCCCCTCCACCTCCTCCCCTCCCCTCCCCTAGGAGCTTTGAATTGCCTTCCTTGAAATTTCTAAGTCCCCTTCCAGTGTTTGGAACTGGTGCCTGATGTCAGCCCTATTGGTCTAAGGATGTATCTAAGGCTAAAGTCCAAAGGAACCTTAGAAATGATTTAAATCAAACCCTCTCGTTATACAGATGGAGAAACGGTCCCAGGGGCAGCAGTTAAGTGCCCTAACTAAGGTCCCTTGTTGTTAGAAATGGAAGAAGGATTAAACCCCAGGACCTTTGTTTATCAATCCTGTGCACTTTTTACTTTACTCTGCTGATTTCTACGAAAGTCTGCCTTGTCCCCCTTCCAACTAGAAGTGGCTTCAAGGCAGGGCCCACGTCTCACTGCTCAAGCGCCTCAAACTGCCCTAATGTTCATTTAATGAACATCACTGCCCCAAACATTAATTACTATAACAAGGCAAGGTTACTTCATCACAAAAGAAAGGGGGGCTAGTCTAAAAACAAACAAAGAAGAAAGAAAAGAAAAAGAAAAATGTTCTAAGCGTTGAATAAAGTAAAACCATAAGTACTTCCCTGGAAACCTTAGGTTCTTTCAAGAATGTTACAATGCATTTTCTTAAGCCAAGGAGTCAAGTTCAAGTACATCCAGCATCCATGACCACTCTATTAAGAGGAGGTCCACAGTAGAAAATGCCCTAGGCTGGCAATGACTCCACTGATTTCTCAGCCACAGCAGGAAGCAGAAAGGCCTCAGGAACCAGATAACTGAAAATACACAAAGTACAGCCCAAGTAAAGCCACCGCTGCCATACTTACCATAGTTGCTTGGGATTAGTCCCGTCCTGCCTTTGGAGGTGCCTTTCCACCAATTGGTATCACTCTGGTGAAAGAAGAGTTAAATTAAGTGTCACCGAATCCAGTTTACATTCAGTCATTTTTAAAACCATATGGCGCATATTGGCCTCATTTTGGCCTTTTCAAAGGGTAGAGCAGTTGACTTTTTGTTTTATCTTACATAAAATACAACATACTTCCAATTCAAATGCAGAGTTACTGCTTTACCAAATGTCCATCAGCCCTGGTCACACTGATCAAGCTTCCTCACTCCCTAGTTATGGATGTCTATTCCCCTTATCATTAAATTACAAATATACCACACATCTGCCTGCAAAAAATCAAAGACACTTCATCATAGAGACTCCACATTCAAACAAATCAAACAGAGATAATATGAAAGAGAAGGGAAAAAAATATGTTTAGTTTAGACTATCTGTAGGATTTTTTGGTCCAGAGTCTAATTTCTCTTAGTCTCAAGATACGCATATATTTGGTTTTCTAAAGAACTCTTTATTTCACCTTTGCTTTTTTGGTAACTTTTTATCATAGAAAAATTCAAACCTATACCAAAGTAGAAGGAACCGTATAAGGAACCTACACATACCCATTTCCTAACTGCATGAACTATTTACTCATGGCCAATACTGTTTCATGCATATCCTCACCTACAACCTCCCTCCCCTTCAGATTATCCTGAAATAAATTCTAGACATCATATTCTTTTATCTGTAAATATTTTAATACGAATCTCTGAAAGATAAGGACTTTTCCATAATAATAACACCATTATCATGTGTTATTTTGTTTGCTAGCTTAAAATTTGTTCAGCAGTAATTCCTTAATATCATCAAATATCTACAATACTCAAAATTTCCAGTATGTCTTATAATAAAGTCCACACAGTATGATTGATTGATTTGCCTCTTAAGTCTCTTTTAGTGTATAGTTTCCCCCTTCATTTTTTTTTCACTCCTTCACAATAGACTTTTCATAGAAACTAGTTTGTTCCGAAGAGTTTGGAAGAGTCTGGATTTTCCTTGTTGTATCCCTTGTTATAAAAAAATGTGTTCCTCTGCTCCCTGTATTGCCTATAAATCGGTCATTAGTTCTAGGGGCTTAATTAGATTCAGATTCAATTTTTTAGCAAGACTATTTCATGTGTAGCATTGATTCTTCCATCAGGAGACACACAATGTCTCTCTTTTTGTAACATTAGTAACCACTGATGAGCATTATTTGGATCCATTATTTCATAAGGGTTGCAAATGGTGACAGTCTAATTCTATCATTCCTTCTTCATTTAAATAACTAGAATATTGCTTTAAAGACGAACTTTCCCTCATCAACTCTCAGGTTACCCAGAGATAAAGTTCATGGAGAAAGGCAGAATAAATACTGATTCTTTTCCTTTAGAGTTGTCAGAATAAATACTGATTCTTTTCCTTAACAGTCATGAGAATAAAAAGTTGGTCCCCTAGCATTCTCTCAGGTTGACCAATGATTTTTGTTTTTAAGTATCATTAGGAGCTCATGAATTTAAACAGAGTAGATTTGTTTCAGTCTTTGGGATTGTTGCCCTAACTGATTGCTCAAATTGTCCTATCTTTGACCAGTGGCAGCCTCTTCAATTTAGTTCTGTGTCTTTCCAGTGTGACCCTAGTAGTCTCTGGGAGCTTCCTTGCTTTCTAAGAATGAGATGTCCTGGGATTATCTTGTACCTTTCCTGCCCCCAACCTGGTACCAGACATTTCTCAAAGGAACTTTGTTCCTTTTAATGGGAAATAACATATTATTATTAGGTTGGTCTTTTTTTCTTTTTGCCCTTTTCAAAGGACAGAGCAGAAATCTTTTTGTTGATTTTATTTTAGATAATATACAACATACTTCCAATTCAAATGCAGAGCTACTTAACTTCATTGATCTTACATCTATCTGTACATCCTTTCTTGCAGGCTGAAACTGCTAGTTTTCTACATCATTGACTTAATGACTCATTTGCTCTAAACTGCAACACACATGCAGCAATCTCAGAATAACAATACCAACACTTTTCCAACATCATGATTAAAAACTGTTTATTATTTGGGGGTAGAATTTCTTTTTGCTCTTCATATTATTCTACTAGAGATATTCAGTTGAAATGCTGAGTTTTAAAGTCACTTGGAATAGTTCCTCTCTGTGTGTCATGCCAAATACCTGGGGTACAACTAAGTTCATGTGATTCATTCTGCTTTTAATTTTTAGGGATTGCTTTTTATCATTTAATTTAATTTTATAACTATGCAAAAGTTTACATGATTCCAAAGACAGATCTCCAAAACAAGGTGTAATTTTTAAAAAGTCTATATTCCATCTATGTTTCCTCTACCCTTTTCCCTTTCCTTTCAGAGAAGAAACTACTTTTTAAAAATTTATGGGCTTCCCTGGTGGCGCAGTGGTTGAGAGTCCTCCTGCCGATGCAGGGGACACGGGTTCGTGCCCCGGTCCGGGAGGATCCCACATGCCGCGGAGCGGCTGGGCCCGTGAGCCATGGCCGCTGGGCCTGCGCGTCGGGAGCCTGTGCTCCACAACAGGAGAGGCCACAGTAGTGAGAGGCCCGCGTACCGCAAAAAAAAAAAATAAATAAAAAATAAAAATTTATGACTCCTCCTTTGACTTTTTATTTTAAATTGAGGAAAATAAGTATATGTATATCCTCTCACCCTTTCTTACTTACATAAGTAAAGGCACACTATCCACATTTTTTTCACCTTGCTTTTTTTCACTTAAATTACTCCATAATATCATATAGAGATATTCCTCACTCCTTTTTGTAGCTGCATAATACTCTGTTTGTAGACACAGCAAAGTTTATTCAACTATTTTCCTATTGATGGAGTAAGGGCTACTTCCAATCTTACGTTATTACAAATTATGCTCAGTGAGTGAACTTGGGTATATGTATTTCTATACAGATATACATGTAAGTAATGTACAATATTACAGCTATACAAAATAGTCTTATACATCTTTAGTTCATGCGTGGTATGACAAAATATTGGCTGGGCTTACCATGTCAGTAATGTAGATAATATCACCTTCTTCAAAGTACAATTCATCTGGCTAAAAAAAAAAAAAAAAATTAAGTTTTACTCCATGTGATTTTTTCATGAATTAGAATACAATGATGATGATAATTATACAAATTCCAGATTCTAAAATCCTTATAGACAGCGTAGTTTTTATATACTTAAATCTGCACATAAACCATATAACATTATTGACAAGCTAACACATGCACAGAAATGTGAATTTTCCCATGATAAACTTCAAAGAATATAAGAAATAAGAATTCCTCCCCCCCCACACACACACCTTATTTTCTTCCCCAATGAAAGCAAGGCATTTTTATACCAAAATAGAATATTAATAAAACTTTTTCATTGTAAAAATTTCAGAAGGTGATATATATTTTTTCATAAAAGGATAAATGTCTAGAACTAAAACCATGAAAAACAGCTAGAAGCTTGGCTCTCTCCTAAATGATTAGCCTTCAATCCTTAAACACTTTCATATCAACATCGCTCTCTACTTATTTTGAGAAAACCATTATCTTAACTCTTCATGTTCAGAGAGAATGACTATCTTATATATGAGAACAGTTAATACATAATTCAACCATTAATAAGACTAAAGAGGGCTTCCCTGGTGGCACAGTGGTTGAGAGTCTGCCTGCCGATGCAGGGGACACGGGTTCGTGGCCCGGTCCGGGACGATCCCAAATGCCACAGAGCGGCTGGGCCCGTGAGCCATGGCCGCTGAGCCTGTGCGTCTGGAGCCTGTCCTCCGCAACGGGAGAGGCCACAGCAGTGAGAGGCCCGCGTGCCACAAAAAAAAAAAAAAAAAAAAAAGACTAAAGAGCTGAAAGATATGAAGCAGTAACTCATTCTAGACCATAATCAAGCTCTAAGGGGTTAATTAATTACACAGACAATACATGCTCTTATACCAGCCAAATGTCCTACAAACTCCCTGAATAAAGCCAGACACTTTAATTAAATATCTTTTTTCCATCAGTAGATAACACTTATCAGCATGACTGTATGAGTAAATAAAATGTCTAGGGAGTTCCCTGGTGGCCCACTGGTTAGGACTCAGCGCTTACAGTGCTGTGGCCCAGGTTCAATCCCTGGACAGGGAACTAAGATCCTGTAAGCCGCCCGGTGTGGCCAAAATATATATATATGTATATTTATGTCTACTGATGAGCAAGTTTCAGATATTGGGAAATGTTTACATTGCCATGCTGAGTGAAGAATGTAGGGCACAAAATTTTACATAGGATAAGATCATGAGCACATATTAGTTTCATAATGCTGGTTGGAAAAAAATTTTTTTAAAGGTTTTGATATTTGATTCCAGTTACTGCTCCACACAAATAAAAATTATGCTAGTGAAACAAATTCTTTCATTCTTTCATTTTCCTTTTGTTTATCTCTCTCAGCTGCAGACTATGGCAGTAAATGTGACTCTGCAACAGTCATTTATTGAGTTTCAAAGATGATCTCTATTATTTTTATAACTATTTCCCGGTGAATATAGATGAAGACTATATCAGCTATATCATGCTTTAAGCAACCACAATTCATAAATATTTAGATGCAATATGCATTCAAATATAAAAATTAGCAAATGATGATTAATTAAACTAAAAAATGTGAGTTCCTCTAAAAAGCACTTTCTGAAGCATTTCTTAATTTACACTTTGATCTACAGAGACTAGACTTACACATAGCATATCTAAGCAAAATTAGTTGAGCCTATGTAGATCAATGACATACATTTTAATATTATTGGAAATAGGCATTTGGAAGAAAAAAAGTAAAGCCTTCTAAGACTTTTCTCAATTTTTCTCTAAAATGCCCTGATGATCTATGATCAATATTACTACCAATATGTTATGGATATAGAAAGTGATTAGGGAAACAAATTGTTTACTTTAGCACTTCCCTGCTGTTAACTGGCTCACTTGTCAGAGGCCAGAAAGGTGACTCACTGCCACCATAGCATACCAGCTGGTGGGCTGGAGTAGCCATCCTTACAACAGTAAGGAATGGGTGGGGAGAATGAAGCAGGATGCAAGGAAGTAAAGAAAATAGAATATATGTGAAATTTTAGCATTTTTTTTGCAGTGACTGAGTTTCTTGGAGTTTTGAAAGAGTTCAGTGTCTTGAAGAGAAGCTAACCTTGCCTACTTATGTCTAACAATCAATCCTCCTCCATCAGTGCTTACCCTGAAGTGGTCATGTCTAAAAATCACAAAAGTCAAGTTTGCCTGAATTTTCACACTTAATAAGATCATTCACCCTTGAAACAAAAGGCACATTTTGAGAAAGTGCCAAACACATAACTTAAAAAACAAAGAACATACACAAGTCTCTGTAATTAGTCTTCCTCAAAAAAAGGAATAAAGCCTGGAAGAATGGGAAGTCAATGTTTAATGGGTACAGAGTTTTCTTTGGGGACAGTGAAAATATTTTGGAACTAGACAGAGGTAATAGCTGTACAACATTGTGATTGTACTAAATGCTTCACTGTTCACTTTAAATACAAAAAATTGTTAATGTTGTGTTATGTGAATTTTACCTCAAATTTTAAAATCATATGGTATTTGTAAATAATTCTTTTCTTTTGTGGTTTGGTAAAATGCATGATTTGGAAAATGTCACCAAGTATAGTCATTTCAAAACTTCTTGTGCTGTTTCGGATTTTAAATTAATGGTTGCTGTTCAATAGCGGTGCCTGCCTCAGCTACCTATTAGATCAGACTTGTTTTTCAACTAAGGGAGCAACAAAAGGCAGTCGATTTCAGTCAGGTAAAAAAAGGTCTCGCTAAGTTTTCATCCTCAGAAAAGAGAGTTGAAGGTTTATTTTCTTTTTAATCAATAGCTCCCAGACACACAATGCTACCCCCGCTAAAATATCTTCTTCCAAAGAAGCTAGGGGCAGATTTTCCTAATGTAGCTGAGGAGGTCGTTTACCAAATTCTTCAGACTGCTGGTGGCAATATAAACGACAAGGTAATTTCATGATTTTAAAACTCAGATAGATTTGTACCTCCGATATTCACACTTTCCATTAAGAAACCACTTGCAGGACACAATGCAAATGTTCAGTGAGGATCGACTTTTAAATTCCTGGCATAGTATTCATGGACTATGATGGGGAAAGAGTGACACAATCAAGTAAGCACTTGTCTATTTCTAGTCTGTTCTTTGGTTTTTAACCACATTCTTCTTTTCCTCTCTCCTTGAAGAACCACAAGGTATCAGAACAAGTAAATTGTTGGCCACTGGGATGTTACAGGGATGAGTACCCACTTGGTAATGTATATCCTGTTCCATATATTCTTGGTAACATATAATTCTTAAGGCATTAATTTTGGTTGGTTTATGCAAATATATATTTTATGAAAAATTTTGGAAAGACCGTGACGTCCTTTTGAAATTTTCCACATTTGTCAACATGGAGCCCTGAGAATTAATAAAAAGAAAAAGAAAAAAAATCATATTCTCCACAGATGCTTTCATTTAGCACTTTATAGTATTATCATGTGCCAGGCACTGGTCTGGACACTTACAATCTCACAGCAACACTGTGAGGTGGGTGCTATTCTTATCATCACATTATAGATGAGAAACTTGTCCAAGGCCATACAGCAGGTACATGGTAGACCCTAAACTTGAACCGTGACATTCAGATTCTGGAGTCCCTGCCCTTCATCACCACCTCTGCTTTCTGTCATACAAAAGGGTCATGCATAGCCATTACTGGCTGCCATGGTGTCATGATCAGGATAAAAGGCAATGGCTGTGGAAAATATCTGTTGTTTCTCTCTTCCCCACCCAACATAATGCAATACAACAAAATCAACAGCAGTGCCTTATACTTGCAAAGCATACTTAACGTCATTTGATCCTACAACAGCCCATTAAGGCAGGGCTGAGTCATGGGTATAATCTCCATCTCACAGCCAGGCTCAGAGAGGTTGAAGAACTTGCCACGAATCACACAGATAGTGAGTGGTAGGGCTGGGCTCCTACTTCAGCTTTTGGAATCCCATCCTAGGGCTCCTTCCCCTACATATAGTGCTATAAACCTAGAGGAGTCCAGCAAATGTTACATGATAGAGAGGAGGATCCTGCTGGTTTCCTTGCAGAAATCAATATACCTCCAGTACACAGGAAATGCTGTTCTCTCTCCATCAGTGCAACTTTACACTGGTCTATCCAGTCTTACCAGGCCTCTATATGACACTTTATTGGATTGGGGGTTGGGTGAGAAATAAGAACCAAACAGGGCTGGGTGATGTCAGGACTACCTTGCCTTCATGCATGACAGAGGAGAGAAATGCATTGACAGGAAGAACCAAGAGTGACAAGCTTCCCAGTGGATCACCGAGACGAGTTGGGTATTGCTGTCCCTATCTTCTGAGAGTAGTACAGTAGCTAAAAGCTGGACCCAGGTATTTCTGGGGTGCTGTACGTGTCAGCGATGGTCTCACAGAGTCCAGCTCAGCCCTTCCAACTTCTTTGTCTCAATGACTTTTAGGTGAGTTTAGGATATACTGGGGTACACCCATCCTACTAGAAAAGATGGCCACTGGGCCCAGGGGAGAAAGACCAAACCGAGCTTGTCCAAAAGAAATTCTCATTCAGAAAAGAATGTTAAGATGAACCTAGTTCTAGGATGACATTCAAAATACTGAACAACTGGTACAGCATGGGCACTTAAGCAGTCAGGAAGTCCCCTGGGACCTGATCAGCCAGACACCTCCCCTTCAACATCTGTATTGAGGGGAGATGGAGAGGAGCAGAGTGTGGGAGCAGCAGGGCATGAGGTAGCCATTACTGACCATCCAGCACACACAGGATGAATTAGCAGCATTGCTCTACAGCCTAGGATCCTTGGGACCATGGATATTAAAAATAGCATTTTAAATGTGGAATATTCAAAAAACCTAGTTCATGAAATGTCTATTTTCTCCTGTGCATTCATTAATAACCAAGACTTTTAAAAAGCAGTAGAGGAATGTCCCCGGTGGTGCAGTGGTTAAGAATCTGCCCGCCAATGCAGGGGACATGGGTTTGATCCCTGGTCCAGGAAGATCCTACATGCCACGGAGCAACTGAGCCCGTGCGCCACAACTACTGAGCCTGTGCTCTAGAGCCCACGAGCCACAACTACTGAGCCCATGTGCCACAACTACTGAAGCCTGCGCGCCTAGAGCCCGTGCTCCCAAACAAGAGAAGCCATCGTGATGAAAAGCCCGCGCACCGCAACGAAGAGTAGCCCTTGCTCGCCTCAACTAGAGAAAGCCCTCACGCAGCAACGAAGACCTGACGCAGCCAAAAATAAATAAATAACAGTAGAGAGACTCCATCCTGGAAAAGAACTGGAGGTGAATTAAAGTAATCAATACATCAACCAATCAAAAGTATGTGTTAAGAGTCTATGAATATAGCAACCACTACTCCTTCTAATAGTAACAATGACTCCTTAACAGTAACAGCAGCTTTATACAATCTCACTTAATTCTCACTAAAACCCTATGAGATTATTATTATTTTCACTTTACAGATGAGTACACTGAGGCACAGAGGTTAGGTAATTTCTGAATTTACCAGGTCACACAGCTGCTAAAAGAGGCAGAGCGTGTCCTGAAAGCTACTGTAAGCTCCAAACCTCTGTGTTCTGCACCCTAGACACTGTGCTGGTGAGCAGGACTGCAAGGCCAAGTGCAGAAGTTCAGAGGCGGGAGAGACATCCCACTCCTCCCTGGGGTGATCAAAAAGTCTTTATGGAAGAGGAAGTGTGTGATTAAAGCTTAGAGAGGTGCAGAGCCATGAGTCTACAAAGAGTTCAGAGATGAGTTATACAGTGCACCGAATCCACACTGGAATGGTCCACAGAGGAGAAGGAGCGGAGGGCAGCAGGACTAGAAAGGGGGCTGGACCGCAGGGGACTCTGTCCTTAGTCAAATGAAGGGTTGAAGCAGCTGATGACCATTCAGGACAGAGGAAGTATCTAAATGAAATCACTTTTGATTTTTATGTCAATTTGAAAGTGAAAAACTGAATACTTACAGTTCTGGGTTCAAACGTATAAAGAGCTCTGAACACTTTAACTTGCCCTGAAAGAAAGGAAAGAAAAAACACATGATCGATTCTTTCATTTCTAAATTTGCTGTAAACAGTATTTTCCTTTATATTCTTCAGAATTCCTTAACTAAAAGCCCCTGTGAGGAATTTATTTTGGAATTAAGTGTTTTTTCTGCATAGGAGGTATTTTTAAAATATTTGTTAAATGAAAGTATGAATAAACACATACCTTCCCCCTCTCAAACAACAGGAGCTACCTAATTATTTGTACTTAGCTTCTGTCCTATGTAGAACCTCTCCAACCCTAAGATCTAAGTTTAAAAACAGAAAGGTGAGAGTTTAACATAAAGAGATACTTAATGGGACAATCAGCAGTAGTTGAATATTCTTAAATTAATGGGTTAGGATTTTATATTTTCCAAGAGAAAAGAAAATATGAGGGAGAAAAAGTGTACCTGTTGGAGAAATCTGTGATTCCATTAAGTCCCACAACAGAGTTCAATAACTATCCCAAAATGAGTCATGTTCATGAGAGCTGTCCATTCTGCCAAACCGTCTCTCTCTTTCTATGTCCCTTTGCTGCATTTCCATAACACCTGGTATCAGAATAACTGATTTGCTGGCCTGTCTCATTTGAGGGCAGGAACCCTGACTTGTTCAATCTCCTAGCATCTACCTGACATATAGTACGAACTTAATAAATGCTTGCTAAATAAATATGTAAGTATAAGAGCAAATTCAAACAGTGTCACAAAAAGCCTACACATATCAAAATAGAAGAACTACCTACTTAAAATGGGATAACAGTTCAATTTCAGTACTGGAAGAAACTTTAGAGATGACCACCTAGTCCAAGGGCATTATTCAGAACAGTGGTCCCCAAGGTGGGACACAGGAAGACTACTTCAGAAATTATGTACATTTTTATCTTATTCATTTTCATTCCTATTTTAACATGTTTTAAAATACAACAACATGATTGGGACTTCCCTGGTAGTCCAGTGGTTAAGAATCCACCTTCTAATGCAGGGGATGCAGGTTCTATCTCTGGTCGGGGAACTAAGATCCCACATATCGCGGGGCAACTATGCCCGCATGCCACAACTACTGAGCCCACGAGCTCTGGGGCCCGTGCGCCACAACTAGAGAGAAGCCCACGCACCGCAATGAAGAGCGCGAGTGCCGCAATGAAAAAAATCTTAGTTGCATGCTGCAGCTAAGACCTGATGCAACCATAAATAAATAGATAAATATTTAATAAATAAACTATAACAGCATGATAGAATACATATACAACTTATAAATACATTTACTGGGAGTAGTCAAAACCTTTTGCTGATAGAATGGTAAGCATTATGAGGGTAGGTGTTTTGTTTTATGAATGATATATCCAAGTACCTAGCACAGTGCCTGACATATAGTAAGCCCTTAATAATTATTTATTGAATGAATGAAGAATGGATGAATAAAGGAATGGAAACATGTACTCAAAAAAAAAGTCTGAAAACCAGTAGTTTAGAACAGCACTGTCCAATACAACTTTATGCAATGATGGAAAAGCTCTACATCTGTGCTACTCACATATAGCTACTGAGCACTTGAAATATGGCTACTGAGGAACTGATTTTTACACATTATTTAATTTGAATAAGGTTAAATTGCCACAAGTGGCTGGTGGCTAGCATACTGAATGACACAAATTTAGAACATCAGAAAATGAGAAATGACATGATGTCCATTAAGAAGGGACTATGTAAATCAACTCTGATTCAACCTTATGATAAAGTCATTTAAAAAGAATGCTGCAGACATACCCACAGACACCGATGTAGCAAAAAGCCTGCAAAATATTCAGTGGAAAAAAAAAAACCAACAACACGTTATAGAACAGTATGCCAAGTACCATCTATTTATGTTGACAGCACACAAACATCTTGAGTGAAAACACCAATTATGGGAATCTTCACATTCTACTTTACACGCATTGTTTAAATTTATTACACTGAGTGTGTTACTTTTATTATCAATGAAAACAATAAAGATACTTTCACTGCGGGTATAGAGGGGTGGGAATCATTCTTTCTTCTAAATGCCCTAATATAGAAGAGCCGCTCAAATCCCGTTACTTAGTGTGGCTGCAAGAAAACATTATTTTTGCGATCTGAATTCTAGTGCCACTTCTAGAAGCAAAAGTGAAAACTCTTTTTTGTTTGGAGTTTGTTTTTTACCCCACACCCTTAGGCCTAAGAAAGGAAACATTAAATGGAAGGACGAGCTGCCAGGAGAAATATTTTCTGCTGACCTGTCTCTCTGAGAGGAGAGATTAACTATCTTGATTACTTCAAACTTTCCAAAGAGAAGTTACACAAGGAAGCATCCACTCGTGACCAAACTCAATAATGACAGAATTTTCTTGCTCCTTTGAGGGAAGGGCAGGGATGAGACAGGCTATGTATGATTTTGGAAACAAGATCCAATGTCAACTTAACGAGCTTAGATAAAATTCAGTATAAATGTTAAAACCTGGAAAAAGAAAACTTGGAGTGTGACTAAGCCGCTGATTTTTGTAACTATCTTTTGTGATTGTCTTACTTAAAAAGTTCACAACTTAAGAGGAAGTTGGAGATTTATTTGCATCTTGATTTATACTAAACAGAGAACATCAGGCAACCCTCTAGGCCATTATACGAGGGAACACTCTCTCTATGTAATGCTGTAGAAAACACTTTCACATACACGATCCTTTTTATCAATTAAGGTTGAGACATTAGCCCCTTGTGGGTCCCTTTTAACTCATATATTATAAAAGTTTTAGGCCTTAATTTATTCCATTCTCAAAGCTGAGTCAAGTAGAAATGAAAGAATACAAAGAAGGAGGCAGAGGTTATGAAAGAATAGCATAAAGAAGCAAAACAGATGACTTTCAACCCTGGATATGGCCTCTCAAGAGAATAGTAATTAATAATACTTAATTCACTGATCATTTTTACATCATATTTAATTCAACTGTGTGCAATATTCTATAGCACAGGTTTACACAAAGTACGAAAGGGAAAAAATCAGGGTACTCTGTGTTTCTATAGTATTGTCCTTGCAAACATCCAAAACACAAACAAACAAAAAAAAACATCTTAATAAGTCATCAAGAGCAGGCGCTGATCAATTCCAAACATATTTAATGAAGGCAGATTCACAACGTAAAATAGTTGTGTTCTTGTATACGCAGAGCGGCTAAATTAGATGCCTTCTTCAGATACCCTCCATCTTGATCATTTTCTCATAGAAGTCTGGTTACATACAATGAAGGGAGAAAGTGGAACTGAGAAGATGGCATGAATTACCTGAAGTAACCCTGGAATTCGCCCTGAATTAAGACTGGAAACAGCCCCAATCTTTTGCCTGATGCTTTACGTGACAGTGACTCTCATAAACATGAACTAGCATGTGAATGGTGTTAAGGATTTCAGCAGGGCTGGCCTCCTAACATAAGCAAGATAAGCAAATTCCTATGACACCAACAGCAGCTGGCTCCTCACCTTGCCAGGCACACCCTTCTCTTTTCTTTGCAACCCCACCTAGACCCTGTAGTGAAAGGATGAGTCCACTAGTCATCAGCCAAACACTATTTTCCTCTGGAGTTAGGCTGACTGCTTCCCCTACTACCACCTCCCAACCTCCCCTCACCCCCTACTTCAATAAACTAATCTTTGTCCATAGCAGTTGAGGCTGATAAGAGGGAAAGGGGTCTGGGATGGGGTCTCGAACAGGCAACGAGTAAGAGAATTTGCTGTTTCTGAGGTCTGCAAAAAGAATATGTATTGTTGCAGCACTGAGGCCCTGAAGTAGCACGTAGAAGGACCTGGGGCTTTTACAAACTCAAACATACAATTTCTAATCTACTTTATTCTCTGCTGGTGGAAGAGTGGAGGAAAAGCTTCGAGAGTGAGCCACTATGACAGCATTAAAAGCAGACTGCTCACCACAATGGATAGACATACCATAAATGGCAAGAAGAATGACTATTCAAAACATCAGAACTTAGTCATCTGTAACAGATTGACTATTTCATTTACATTCTGCTGAAAAATGTTGGGAGGCATGAGGCATTTTAGTTGGACTTCATTTAAAATGGCTATGATAACTACTACACACCCACTATGATAGTTAAACCCCAAAACACTGACAACGCTAAGTGTTTAGAAGGATATGGAACAACTGAAATTCTCAGACATTACCAGTAGGTGTGTAAACTGGTACAACCACTATAGAAAGTTACTTGGCAGTAGCATTAATTCATTTTTTATGTCTTAACATGTCTTTGAGATCTTAAATGCATTTCTGAGGAAGAAAACCATCCTTATATTGCATACAAAAATGACCCCTCCCAGACAATGTCACTATCCCCAGAGTACAGTGAGTCTCAACATTTTTAAACTCTAGATCATGACATATTAGTAGATGGTAAAACTAATTTAGTGGCTTTAAAAAATATTAAATAAAACAGAAAAGACCAGAGTACACTGTAAATAATAGAAATAATTATGGCTTTGTGAAACTTTTGTTTCGCTAGGAGGACTGGACAGATGGATGCAGAAATGAATGTTTATTTTAGAAATTTACCAAATACACACTTTGGCATAATGCCAAATGGCCAAATATTAAAATCAACATTTGCCAAAGCTAAATGTTGCCTTTACAGAATGAACTACTGGGAAAGAAGAATAAATCTGAAATTTTATTCAAAAATTAATTATGATTACAATTTTAATATTAAAAATCCTGGTAGACCCATATTTAAAGTTTGACATAAAAGGGCAGGAACCATAATTCCTCAGCACTGTCAACTGCAGCCTGATAAAACTTCTGCAAAACTAAATAAATGTTCTCTCTAAAATGAGGTCTGTGTAAAAGCAAGATATTATGGTGCTAATTCTGCCAGTGTAGCTGTTTCTGATGATGATTTTGCCACCAAGTTAGTAAGATGTCCTTCCTCCCTAATAGAAACTGCCTGAGGTCCAGACTTACCTCCTCT